TGCAGCCACATGGGGCTCCAGACATCACTGTGGAAAGCTGGACTCAGTGATCAACACTGCCCTTCATATCGTCATCGGTGTAACCCGGACAACTCATTTCCAACCTTCTGGTCCTGACTACCATGCTCCCCTGGCAGCTAGGTGTGAAGGCAGGGCCCTGGCCACATTATTATATGTGGTAAACTATCAAGGCAGCTTACTTCATAATTTCATCCCAAAGCCACATCAAAATCCCAGTTAAAGTCAAGACACTCCTTTTCTGAAAAAGTTGAGCCTCTCTGACAGTACATCAGAACAGCAGCAACAGGTGGTGCAGGATTATATTTTGGATCAGCGGTGCATTTCTTGGCAGATAGACAACTCAGGTCTGAGTCCCCTTGTCTCTCTGGCTCAGCTCTCACATGCCCCCGGAGACCAACTATATGAACCAAAAGATCCTTCTTTGTTACGACAGGCTCTATTGTGGTCACCAAGGGTGGGGTTAACTATTGCTGAGGCTTCTTGAGCTCCCCACCCTGCCCCTGTGGAGCTCAAGTTATGCTTATGGACTGCCCTTTTTATCCTCTTGATGGTGAATGGATGTGCCTGACAGCTCTGGATGACTGCCATGATAGGGGCTACATCATTTACTCAACATCCCACTCACTGCTTGTACCATCAGAAGGCATATGCCAGAATAAGTTAGTAAAAAGAACTTGCAGGACAAATAGTTATAACTTTAGTGTTCACTCAGTAGGAAACACTGTTAGTAAGGTTGTAAAGTGTTTCAACTATAATCCCTTTCTTTCCATCATTCATGAGTTTCTGAAAAATTCTCCTTTGTGACTTAAGTATTCCAAATATCATATGCCAGTCTTAAGTTTGCTCCATAGGGATGCTGACTTTCTACCACACTCTGTTTTATCACCTAGTAGGGATTTACATTATTTGTGGAGGGGAAGAGAGGATGTAGTAGGTGTCTTAACTTTTAATTTCCTTTAGAGTAAAATAGATGGAGTGTAATAAGCTCTATTATTTCACAAAGATACTGTATAAGTTAGTCATTTCTATACTGACCTAGTAAATATTTGTTTCACTGCAACTAGTCACTGCTGTTTTTCTTTTTAACCACTAGCTTAAGTTTTGCTGGCCCTGCAAGTCAGGGGCTCAGTCCTACTCCTAGTGACCTTAAAGTATTTTGCCATAAGACGACATTCTACAAGTAGCTGTAAGTCCGCTATGTTCATTTCAGCTTTATTTTTTGGTATGTAGGGAGAAAAAATTGAGGTCTGCAACAAATCCATCTGCTAAAAGCCTGACAGAAATATGTGAGGGTATGACAGACAGACAATTTATGAGTTTCCTCAAGAATGTCCTTAAAAGGTAATATATAATTAAAGTTGGAAATAGAGAGATGAATGGGAAAAGCTTTGTTGTGTGGTTTGAGCTGGCAGCATCTCTCACACAAAGTTACTGCACCAGTTCAGTTTATCTAGTCAGATAACTTGGGAGAGAGGTATATCTAAATATATCAGGTGTAGAAATCCCTGGAACACTGTATGCTCACTATATAAATACAAGTATTTGGTTTTAACCCTCAACCTGCTTCTCCCTACCCTCCTTTGTCTAGCTTACAGTTCTGCATTTGAGATAGAAAGCCTTAGGAGCAGGGACCACAACTGTTCTGAAATCTCTATAGATGACCATGCTTTCCAAGTTCAAAAGTCCAACATCCTTCCAATGTAGATAATATGATATTATAAAGTGGTGCCATTCCAGTGGAACCTTAAAAACAAGGTCCCGGCTGCTCTGGGTAGACATTAGAGATTGCATGGCACTTTTCAAAAGGTATGGCCAAATTCCTCTCTTCCTGTTATTGTGCAGTGGACTAGCTGGCTACTGCCTTCTGCTCCAGCTGTGACTGCGTTTCAGTTGTGTTTAGCTATACACTACTCCAATTTGTAAAACATTTTTGGATTCTTTAGAATTAAAGGTGCTATAAGACCTATCTAATAGTTTCAAATTTTTTCTAAAGTGAACATTGAGAGACAAGAATACAGTCCAAAACTTCATTTGTGCTCAAAACTAGAGCCCTACGTGGAACAATTTTTTAAAATCCTGCTCCTGTCTCGCCCCGCAATACCATTCACACCCGCTCCCACATTGTTTCTTGAATTTTTATCCCACTCCCACTATTATGGCAGCGGGTCCATCTAGTACCCACAGGATCCCAGTCCCGCTGCAGGGCTCTACTGAAAACTTTTTATGCTTTGAAAGGTAGAGAGACCATCTGGGATTTAAAAATCATCATCAAGCCCTCATTGGCTCATAAGCCAAATTGCTTCTGTGGAGGAAGTTGCTCTATTAGGGCAAGTAACGCAAAAACATGCACAAGGGATCTTGCTCACGAGCATAGTCCCAGTGAAGGCATTAGGACTTCATCCATCAGTAAACTGATTTACATGTGTTTGCAGGATTGGACCCTTAAATGACAAGTAAAAAAAAATCTATGTCTGTTTTAATTTGAAAACAACTGAACCAGAATACTGGAGCATTCCTATTTAAAATAAATATACATATTCTATTTTCATATAATGTGCTTTCCATTATGACCAAAACATGGCTCATGCTTCAGTATATAGGAGGAAAACATTGTTCCTAGAACTGAGTATTTTTGAAATTTAGTACAACGAACTAACATTCATGCAACTTTACATTTTATGCCACACACATTTTTATTTTTTGGGATGGATCAGGAGAAGAGGGGGATGTAAATAGAATAGGACAAGCCTTTTTAATGCCAAGAGTATAGCAAGTTGTATCCAAATTATTACATTTAATACATTTGGAAGACTAACCATGGTGAAAAGGGTACAATTGCTGAATATACACACAAACATGAGAATTGTCTAAATACAGAAGTTGTCTTTTTGATTACTAAGTTTGCTATATGAAACTTACAGAACTCCATTCTTTCATTTTTCACTTATGCCTTACTGAGTTAATTAGGTCAGAATTTTTTTTTTTTTTTTTAATGTAAGCACTCTGTAGTACACATTTAAAGAGGTAAAAATACAAATTACTGCACATGAAATAGCTTTTTCCTATACAGCAGCTCTACTTTTGTTGAGTTTAGATTCCATTACTATCACAGTTTAAAGGAGAATACACACAAAGAGCAACCTAAACTATCTTCACTTATGTCAATGCAACACATTATATAATACTAGCTTTTGTTGACAGTTAAGTAGGGAACTACCTGCAGAATTGGATCTGTGATTCTGGGTGTAAGTTGAATGTGTGCCAGACACATGAACCAGGCAAACATCCTTTGAAGAATAAGCCCTTAAGGTCACTCTGTTTTTAAAACAGAAACTGCAGCGCGTTAAGGCATCTCTATACTGACGCAACACAAGACTTAGTTCAGAGGTCAAAAATGTAGCTACAATGTGGGTATTTGTCTTACGAAGGCTCACAGATACAACATCTACAATAATTGCTTTAAGACACCGTATACTGCCTAAGTGTACAATGTCATTTTCCTTTACAACCAGCCTTCAGCATAGCTAGTGAAGTGTGGTATTCCAAGGTAAGCATTTTACAAATCCTAAATTCAGGACAGCTTCCCTAAAAATGTAATTTGAGATAGCCAAGTAAACACCTTAATAAACCACTGATTCCTGCAGGTTAGTCCTTTCACTGATGGAAACTAGAAAGTTTATAATATATAAGCTACTTAAATTGTCCAAGATGTATTAATTGTTCTCAACCTTTCTTCTCAAGGCAGTCCAAATTATTAGATTGTATCAAAGTCTGATGTCAGAATTTTACAGCAGTTTTTAAATTTCTAAATTTAAAGGGAATTAGCCATGTTGAACACTGCCGTTTTACTTAAAAATGGTGCAAAGAGCTGGCTACTCCCAGATACATGTTGAACACATTCAATATTACACACATGCGCACACACACACTTGCACTATTAAATCGTAATAAACTTACTTTAATGCTTTAAAAAGCTCTGAAAACAAAACATATATACTTCAAGCTAAGTTCTAAGCAAATATGGTAGTATCAAAAGTGTTAACATATGCAAACTATACTCCCAATATACTTATTTTGTAGGGGTTTTTTTTTTTTTTTTTTTTTTTTTTTTTTTTTAGTTGAAGGTTACCTTCCAGAAACAAAGTTCACCCAGTACAAAATATTGCCGTTTGTCCCAGTATCTTGTATTAAAGGTTTCCTGATACTTCATCTTCATGCGATTGAAAACACTTGCGTAAGAGTTTGGCTTATTACAAGCCACACAGTGGCTGACAGACAGACTGACTGAATCTATGCTTTTACTATTCAATACAGTAAAAGCTGAGTAAACCATTTTGAAACAGATGTTAGCAGTCACAGAACTATGTTTATGCAAGACATCTCTAGAAGTCAATGTAAAAGTTATAGCCCCTTGGTAGCACTAAGAAAGTGAATTAGATCAGCAGGAAAAAAAAGGTACTGATAACATTCACTAGCATACATGTAGCTTTTGGGCTAGGAGGAAAAGAACATGGCAAAATATGGTTTTATGTAGAGAGGGGGAAAGACAAATATCTGAGAAATTGTGTAAACAATCCACCCAGTGCAGAACTGGAGTTAAAGTGACATGGCTGATAAGAGCAGACTAGCTTAGTACAGCTTGGAATGTGTGTATCAAATCATTGCTTCAAACAGTATTTATCTGTACTGTTGACAAACGCATACCATCCATAGTTATTCACACCACAATTATGAAAGAGTTATTAGAATACTCAGGATGTTATCACCCTCTTGTTTGATCAAAATTATAGCTGTAAGTTACTTGCCAAAAATCAGTAGGTTGGAAACACCCAGCCTGCAAATTAAAAATGATACCACCTGTCAAACATGTTGGAGGACTCCTCAAAACACGTAGCACATCACTTTCCAGAAGTAGTTTATGCATGTGTAACTTGTATTGACAGTCTGCCAGAAATAAATGAGTTTAACAACCGGTAAGGTAGCGGGGGTGTACCCCCCAAGAAGAGATGTCTAGATAGAGTCCAGCCTCCAATCTTTCTTGGAAATGGGAGTTACACAGAGTGAAAGACTGATCCGTGCACTTTTGTCCCTGCTGTGTTGTTCCTAGAAATAGTCCTCCTCTTCATCAAAAAAGCCATTTTCCAAAGCATATGTGCAGTCTGCACTAGATACAGCTTGGCATGCCCCTTTGTATTCTTGTATTGATTCATAAAGAGAGTACAGTTGACATAGCAATGACATATCCAGCTGCCGAAGGCCAACCTGATGGGGGGGAAAAAATAAAAGACATGTTGATATTTCAAATGTGATTTGATTGCAATATGGTGGCACTTGCACACTTTTCCCCACAACTACTCAGGTTCAGAGGATGAGTTGTGTGTCACCTTGAACAATTATGCAATATGGCAGCTTAATGAATTTACTAAGGAAGGCCATATCCACCCCACTGAATAAGCCAGATGAAAGAGCTGTGGAGAAAGCTGTGTTCCGTGGTATAAAATGTGACAAAGCATTCCTTGTGATTCAGTCATGTGACCATGCCCTGTTGACTAGGCAAAAAGCTGTGCAACCCTAGACAGGTGTGCTGCAATGTAAGAGAACTCGAACACTTTGTACGCCCTGTGATGCTCAAGATAGATTTACAGGTGCGACCACATCTGTCCCATTTACTCATCTTCCTTACACAGACTGTGATGCTATTCTGTTTCAGAAATTCAGGACCAATGGAGGTTAGTGTGTAACTAAACCATTATCAAATCTGTATAACCCAGGGAGTATAAAAATCAAGCTACTGAGTGCCCACATCAAAACATTCTAGAAATTTGCAGGACTGGAAGCCATGGTGTATACCTTTATCCCACTGCTCAGGAGATTGTAGCTATTAACTGCCTTCAAGTAGCCTGCTGGACTGTGTTACATTGATTTGTTTGCCCTGACAGAGGGCTACAGCATAAGTCAGCTGCCTCACGTGCCAACTTCTCAGAAAGAGTCCAGGACTAAGGGTAAAATTTTCAAAAGCATTTAAGTGGTTTAGGAGTTGAAGTCCCATTTTAAACAAGTGATTTATGTACTTTTGAAAATCTTACCCTAGACAACCTGGACAGATTAGACTTGAGCAGTGGGAGGAGCTGACCTTTCCCCATGTAGCTAGGGCACCAGAATTACATGAATTAAAGTTACCATGTATCGGTGTGTGGGCAAGCGTACACACGCCCGTCAGGTACAAACCAGGCAGAGACCAGAGGGGAAAAAAACAGAGCTAGCCATTTAATATGAAAGAATTTCCTCACTCTGGCACTGAAGTGCCAATATACCTTTAAGAGTATTCAGCTGACCAAAGGAAATGCTCAAACCAAACATCTCCTTTATTTGCGATATGTTAAAAATGCTACACAGCTAAAATTTAAGTGAACTGCCATACCTACCAATTTCTGAGAACAAAAATTAGGTTGACACACAGTGCCTAATGAGGGTTAGTCCCAGGGAAGAAATTTACCATAACTAATAATTGGAGAAAGGGAAAAGATATTTTTATTATTTGTATTGTGGTAGTACATAGAGGCCTAAATCAGAAATCAAGACCCCACTATGCTAGGTACTGTACACTAAACAAAAAGACAGTGCTCGCCCCAGAGATCTTACGATTTAAATACCTAAAGAGAGGACGGGTAGATACAACACATGGGTAAACAAGATAAAAGCAAGACACAATTAGCTCTTTGTTTGGGGTCCTCCATTTCTGAGGTGAGGGAAGGGATAAAATAATGTCCCACAAACAGCTTCCCTCTAGTTAAATAAAGCTGGACATTGGTTCTCAAGTTAGGTGTCACTAGACCACTGCCACAACTCCCTCATAACCTTCACATCTGTTGTTTTTCTTCCCTATCTTCATTATTTCCTCTAGCTGCTGCCCCCCTCCTCCTCCTCCTCTCCCCAGTGTTGTCCATGTGCTGCTACCCCAGCACCAAACTGGGATGGGGGGGGGGGAGGGGAGGGATAGCTCGGTGGTTTGAGCATTGGCCTGCTAAACCCAGGGTTGTGAATTCAATCCTTGAGGGGGCCACCTAGAGATCTGGGGCAAAATCAGTACTTGGTCCTGCTAGTGAAGGCAGGGGGCTGGACTTGATGACCTTTCAGGGTCCCTTCCAGCTCTATGAGATAGGTATATCTCCATTTATTATTTATTAACTTTTCTCCCATCAAAAAGCGAAGCAGGATCAGGAGCACATCATTTCCTCTCAGCCCTGGCAAAGAAGCACGATGTGCAAAAGCAGCAGCACTAATGCACCTCCCCTCCAGGGAATGAGCATGACTGAGAAAAGAAGAGTGGGATACCTGTGGCTGAATTTAAACCCCTACTCCGCTCAAATCACAGTATAAGATCTTATTCAGCCTTGCAAGGCTAATGTATATTTAGAAGACCAGGCAAAGTCTACATCCTTAAGATGGCAACTAGCAATCAAAACAAATAACTCACCCCAAGCAAGAATGCAAGCAGAATGTTCTGAGGCTACTACATGTACATACACAGAGGAAAGGTTAGGCAATCTTACATCAGAGGTGAATAGTATCTACAAATATTTGAAGGGCATCAACACTGAGGTTAAGAATTGTTCAGGGAAGAATAATTAGAAGTAGTGAGTTGAAGTTGAACAACGAAACCTTTAGGCTGGAGAACAGAAAAAGATTCTAGACAATCAGGTCTATGTCTTATTGGAAGTAATGGAGTTCTTACCAATGGAATGAGAGTTTCAGCTAAACAGGCTTGGGAACATTCTGTGAAGACAAATTCTGCACTAGCTGGAAAATGGACTAGAATAGACATTCTAATAATTATTGTTTTTCACTGCCTTTGTTCAACAAGATAAAGGCAGATTTAATTTTAATGTAGTACAATCTGATATAATCACTATTTTATTTTCAAGTTATGGCTCAAACCTAGACACTCAGCATCTTTCATGTTCAGTAGAACCTGTGTACAGAGACAAGGCCAGTATGTAGTCCATGATTTTGTGCTATATTTTCTAGAACCACTATAGACAGAGAGAACTTCTTAAACACAAAGGGCTAATATGCCTAATATGTACTAACAATTGTTAATATCTTGTTTTTCTGTATTTGTTCCATATCTCAGACAAACAAAGTAAACAGATCTATCAAGAAAGATAAAACACGGTCTCTGGCTCTTGACATGTTGCTAATGAGACCACTGATTCTGCATTTCTTCAGACTTTTGCTAACACATGCTGATCTTGTATGGTGAAAAAGTTCGCTCACTCAAAGTGTTCAGTATACACCACAAAAGGCATAGTACAAGTCACCACTGTACCTACTCCTTACTCAAATGACAGTTTAGAGAGGGTCCTGTCCCCCCCTTCCCCCCCAAAAAACAAAAACCATACTCCTTTCTAAATCTACCATTGTCCCCTTCAAAATCCATGCAGAGAACTTCATTTGAGTATGGAGGGAAGAATGCTGGTACATATTTTTTCCCCATGTTGACATTAGAATCTTACCACAAGCCCTTTTCTACTGCTTAAGCATCAAAAACATGCTCAATATTATTTTAATTTAGTATAATGTAAAAAAATTAGTTATATTATAGTATTACCTATCCAACAGAAAATAGGTGACCTATTACTAAAATGTTAGAGACTCCTGAATTTGTCAACAACTGCACCTCAACTGGAGATATGTTCCAGTGGGTAAAATATTTACTCCTCAAAAGATTTAAATTAACCAGATTATCACTAAGGATATTCTAGCTATAGCATCAAAGAGATATTCTAATTTAAACCATCTGATGTGCATGTCTCACTTGATTTTCCATCCAAAGTCATTCAAATTGCTAACACTTTCTGAAATCAGGGATTATAAATATTATGAAAAACTTCAAATTTTTTCCTGCTGCCCTTTAGAATATTGCTGAAACAGTGTTTGCAGTCCATGGAGATACAATGAATCTGACAACCACCTAAAAATGATTGCTCTATGTCAATACAAATTGGTATCTCCAACATGAAATTCAAGACACTAATAAAACTGTCTAGTTGTTGAAACACTTTTGTTGTGACAGAATAAGATTTTTAGCATTTAAAATGTCTTCTTAGTATATTGAGGCGGAGCATTCTACAGGCTGGCAGCAACACGTTATCAGACAAAACAAACATCACTGATTGTAGGATAAGTATAAAATTAAAGAATTTGAGTTAGCTTAAGTTTGGTTAAGAAAATAACATATTTGCTTTATAGTCTGTGGCTAGTAGGGAGAAAGCCCCAATCAGCAAGTAAAAGAAGGCCATGAGAATAATAAGTAGTATTACTTGTAGTGTAGAAAAGATGTATGGTTCCAAAATAACTAAAGAGCTGCAGTAACAAATTGGCCTGCTAAACCCAGGGTTGTGAGTTCAATCCTTGAGGGGGCCATTTAGGGACCTGGGGCAAAAATCTGTCTGGGGATTGGTCCTGCTTTGAGCAGGGGGTTGGACTAGATGACCTCCTGAGGTGCCTTCCAACCCTAAGAGTCTAAAAGAAGAACTGTCTTAAAAGAAACAAGCTCAAATCCTCCCACTGTTCCGCTGGTAAACAAGGAAGGGGGGGGGGAGATAAGAAAGGAAACTGTAAACCTTTTTTGGATTAAGACAGGAAATAAGGGTGAATTGTCTCAAATTAGTTTTTAGCTGAAGTCAGTAATTTAGCAATGACATCACTTGTTTGTCAAAAGGTATAAACTCTTAAAGGATTCATTGCCAATTCTTGCCTGACCACGTTAGAGCTGACCAATATGGTTCTAAGCACCCCTGGGTTTAGCCCGTTTGTATCTTGATCAAATGCTTATAAGTGGTTTGTTACTGTTTGGATGTAGTAAATTGCTTATTAGTTAGGTTTTTTAGGCATGTTTAGTGCAATTATATAAATACTATTCAGCCTTTGGATTTAATAAAGGAATTTATGGTTAAGTTTATGTTTGGTGGTTTCCCACATCAATAAATATTAATAATTCTAACACTGATGCAACTGTTTAAACCAATGATCTGTCATGGATTTTTGCCCTATCTACAGCCCTTTGCAAAGCAGCAAGAGCCCATAACACTCCATTCTCAGAGAAGAAAGTCATATTAAGAATATGTCTACTCATAGGGTGACCAGATGTCCTGATTTTATAGGGACAGTCCCGATATTTGGGGCTTTTTGTGATTATAGGCATCTATTACCCCCATCCCCTGTCCTGATTTTTCACACTTTCTATCTAGTCACCCTATCCACTCAGCACTTGGGAGCATGCTTCCCAGCTCCAGTAGACAGATGTGTGCTAACTCTGCTCAAGCTAGCACACTAAAAATAGCAGCATAGCCAGGGTAGCATGAATGGGGCTCAGCCTAGCCACCTGAGTACAAATCCACCCAGACTCTCCAGGGAACATACTCAGGCAGCTAGCCTAAGCCATCACCCATACTACCCCCAGCAATGCTGCTATTGTTAGCAAGGCAGCTTGAGCAGAGTTAGTACATCTCTATCTGCCACATAAACAGATTTCCTCTTACTGAAACAGCACAAGAAACTTTTATCATTCAAATACTCAGACACTTTTTTTTTTGGCAGCCTTGATCACTATCAAGCATTTTCAAAAATACTTGACTGGAGGAGAAAAGAATTCCAGCAAAAGTGTTTCCTAAATCAACTTTAAGCACAGAAAAAAAAAAGTATTTTAAAAACAATTATTTTCAATAGAGGGGAAGAAAGAAGGAGAGGGGCACAGAAAGGGGCCTAAACTGGAAAAAAAAAGATTAAACTAAGGGTACATTTTGAAAGTGTGTTTTAGCTGTGGCTAAAGGAAGCCTGGTAATTTCTCTGGCGTGGTGGGTCATTTTCGTTAAGACAAAAGTATATTAATCCTTATTGTGATGCACCACAAAAAGCATACTTTCCTCACAATCCCTTGGTCTGTCCTACAGATGGAGATGTTAAATATTTACAGCCTTAATTTATCCCACAAAGTAACTATTATGGGTGTTCATAACTTTTTTTAGTATTATTATGACTCTGTAAAAACTACGTAAGTTGCTTGATTTACATTGTATTTACGCTAGTTGGAGAGCACCCAGGGTAATATTTTCAGAAGACTATCAGTGATTTAGGAGCTGACCTCTCATTTTCAAAACTGATCTGGGTACTTTAGCCGCTCAGCACGCGCAGGGTCTGATCCAACTACAGTTGTTCTGGCCAGGGATGTTGGAACTTGTATTGGGGGGGAGAGGGTGCTCAGAGCCATCCAACCAAACTGTAAACCCCAGCTATGATGGAAACCACTTCAAGCCAGGAGTGCGGCAACAGTCCCAGCTCCAAAATCTCATGCCCAAACTTTCCCCCCCAGTGCGATCCTCAGACCAGGCGCCCCCCATCCCTCCCGGTGGGGCCCGATCCACTGCCTCCTTCATGCAAACAAACTCCAGCCCCACCCCAGCACGGCCGCGGCTAGACCAGCGGGGCGCTCGGTGGGGGCGCCTCACTCCCAGTTCCGTGTGTGGCGCTTTCTAGCCCGGCGGGGCGTGGTTTCCTCGCCAGCGGGCCAGCTCCAGCCGGGGCGGCAGCTGCGTGGGGCGCTGGGTGTCGGGGCAGCGCCGCGCTGCCAACTCCCCCGGGGGCGCCCGCGGCTCTGCGGTGGGGGACAAGCCCCCGCAGCCCTTACTCGCCCCCCTCACTCACCATCTCTTTGCGGAGCAGGGCCAGCGCCGCGTCCAGGTTGGGCGGCCGGGGGGAGCCTCGGCCGACGCTGCTCGCCCGCCCTCGGCTCAGCTCGTCCTGGATGCGGGATTTCTGCGCGTAGAGCCGCTCCAGGTCCCGCCAGCGCCCGCCGCCGCCGCCCGAGGAGGAGTTTAGCAGCCCGCTCAGGCTCTTGGGCAGCGGCGGCAGCCCCGGCCCCCCGCCACTCTCCGGCCCGCTCATGCTGCTGCTGCAGTCCTCGAGAGCGCCAGCCGCTGAGAAGGAGCCGCCGCCCCCTTCGGTTCCGAGAGGCTCCCAGTCCCAGCGCTGGAGCCCGCCCCTGCGGCCCGGCTCCGCCTCCAGGCTGGAGCGGAGAGTCAGATGGACAGAGGCAGCGTTGTAGGGGGCGGGGTACCTGTGACCAGAGGGAAAAGGGGGCGGGAATCCGAAGAAGTGGGCTGTAGCCCAGGAAAGCTTATGCTCTAATAAATTTGTTAGTCTCTAAGGTGCCACAAGTACTCCTGTTCTTTTTTCAGGGGAACCGTGGGAGGGAGGGAGAAGGGAGCTGGGGTCAGTAGGGATGGGAGGAAGCTCCGCCTGGTAGCAAGTTCAGCAGCCGGGCAGTTAGCAGAGCTGGGCACCCCTCCCTTTTCCTGCACAGGATGCCAGCACAATGCGCACGTTTGCTGCACTGCCATTGAAAGGCCTCTGAGGGCCTAGCCCCGGCTACCTGAGAGCTCAGTTCTCCCTGGACAGGGATTCCTTCCCACACAGCTCCACTCCACTGGGACTGTGCAGCTTCCCAGCAGCGAGGAGGCCCCAGAGTGCGCGGGTAAGGGACAGACCCCCCAGGAGAACTGGGCCTAGAGTGACCAGACATCCCAATAATATCCGGACAAAGACAATAGGGGCTTTGTCTTACATATGCAATTATCCCTCTCCATTCCCCCTGAAAAAACAACGAGTTCTAATTTTTCACACTTGTTATCTGGGTCACCCTACTCTGGGCCTCATCCCAGCAATGATAAGAATGACCTGGCACCTCACTGTATTTAGGACTGAATGCAAAACTCAACTCTTTAACGTAGCTTTTCTACAATAGGCTCTTATTTCACTCACACCCATACTGACACACAATACATGCACAAGTCTATAAATTAATCAAACTGTTTCCCCTATAGGTGGGAGAATAGTGAGACTGCTTTTGTGATTTTTGTTTTTAAATCCTTGTGAGACCTCAGCTAAAAAGGCAATGAGGCCTTTGTAAAGATCTAGATATACATAGTTGGGGGTATTTGTGTGTGTGAATGGGGAGAAAGAGATCTGGGTATGTGTAAGTGAGAAGAAGGGTAGGGTATGAGAGCAGAACAGAGTATGCGACATAGGTGTGAGATAGAAGAAGGGAATCTGAGTGTGTATAAGGGAGATGGGGCATAGAGTGGAGACAGCAAAAGGGATGTAGAAATGAAAATCAGCTGCCTGTTTCGCTTGCATAAGAACAGCCATATTGGGTCAGACCAAAGGTCCATCTAGCCCAATATTCTATCTTCTGGCCGTGGCCAATGCCAGGTGCTTCAGAGGGAATGAACAGAACAGGTAATTATCAAGCGATCCATCCCCTGCTACCCATTCCCAGCTTCTGGCAAACAGAAACTAGGGACACCATCCCTGCCCATCCTGGCTAATAACCATTGGTGGACCTATCCTCCATGAATTTCTATAGTTCTTTTTTTGAACCCTGTTATAGTCTTGGCCTTAATAACATCCCCTGGAAATGAGTTCCACGGGTTGACTGTGTTGTGTGAAGAAATACTTCTTTTGTTTGTTTCAAATCTGCTGCCTATTGATTTCATTTAGTGACCCCCTAGTTCTCGTGTTATGAGAGAAAGTAAATAACACTTCCTTATTTACTTTCACCAGTCATGATTTTATAGACCTCTATTATACCTCCTCCCTTAGTCATCTCTTTTCCAAGCTGAAAAGTCCTAGTCTTATTAATCTGTCTCCTCATATAGAAGTTGTTCCACACCCCTAATAATTTTTGTTGCCCTTTTCTGTACCTTTACCAATTCCAATATATCTTTTTTGAGATGGGGCAACCACATCTGCATGCAGTATTCAATATGTAGGCGTACCATGGATTTATATAGAGGCAATATATTTTCGGTCTTAGGTTTGGATGAGGTTTTGGTTGTCTCAGGCAGCCTGAGAATAGGATTTTTTTCTAGCCTGGGGGTTGTTCTTAAGGACAAAATAGATTGTGGACAGGCATGGCTAGTATCATCGAATATTTTACATCCTTGGTCAAGTGAAGTAACAAACACAAGAGACTATTAAAAGCTATACAAGTCTCAAGAACTGAGAAAGAGAATGGCCAAGTTCTGCCTCTTTGAAAATGTGTAGCATTATCTTGTTTATCTGATCTGTAAGTCTGTATAGCTGCCATGCATCTTACTTAAAAGAAAGTTCCCATTTCCAGTTGGAATGTCACAAAATATATCAAAATATCCAATGGTAAAATTTGATATTCTTATCCAATGTTTTATTTGTAGGGATTGAAACTAGAGAAATCCCAAAATACTTAATACCTTCCTAGCCAAAGAATGTATATCTGCTCTGTTCTGTATATCTTCCTGGGATATCCTTGCCCTATTGTGACCACTATTTACCTCAGTCTTCAGCTTGGAGGATTTTGTGTGGATTCCTCTCTCACAGACATCACTGATTTTAATCCATCATTTAGGTACTCCATAAAAAAGTGCTACCACAAAAAGCCTGTTAAACCTGTATACTTCTATCCTGGGTAGCAAAATTTTAGGAGTGAGAGTTACTCATCAGAATTTGCTGCCTGTTGTTATGCCAGGAATGAGAACTAGTGATGGTAGCAAATTGTGACAAGTTAATGACATCCATCAGATTTATTACCAGGACCACAGGCTCTTATTTTCTCCAAACAGCAACAAAATAAAAACATGAACTAACTATAATTTTTCCTCATTCTTTAAGTCTGTACACGCACACACACACATTCACTCACTCCCTATATATCTTGGATCTCCATGGTCACTGTCACTCCCTAGAAAAGCCAAAACTTTGAAGTTCTTCTTTTGATACTCATTCAGCTAAGCAACAGAGCTGAGAGACTGAAAAATAAAAATCAAGGAAGGGTACAAAACTGGAGTTGTCAGAACATATTGCCACTGCAGATCCAGACTCTTGGGAGCCTACAGTTTAGCGGTACAATCCTCAGAACCACTTAGAAGGCAATTACCATTGGGACTGCCTGTCCACTATTTTGTGCCTGTTCATTTGATGCAAGGTTATATAATAGATTATTGCACCACCAGCTCTCAATGTCTTTCCGCCAATTGATAGGAATGAAATCACTACATATGTAGATGGACATATAAGAAACATGGATGAACCACTTCACCATTCACTGAAATGCAGCCACCTATACTATAGAACTCTGCAGCTGTTTAAGAGCACCCAATTCCACTGCACAACAGTGTAGAACAGGCAGGGTAATATGTTACCAATAACATTTGAGTTCTGCATCCTAAGGGCACTTCATATCTTATGCATCAGGGTGTAAGCTAATTCGCTAGGGAGTCAAGAAGGAATTTCTTTCCTCCCCGAATATGCATTGTGTAATTGGCTAGGTACTTTACTAAGGGGCTCTGCACCTTCTATGGCATCAAGTCTGGCAGGCTATAGCCAGAGACAGAATACTGGACTTGATAGACCTACTCCAGATTCTGGTATGGTGGATTCTCTATAACACGGTAGCTCATTGTAACCATGCAGAGAAATTTAAGGAGACAGAATGTACTTTACAAAATTGGCATCTGTCCAGGACATCAGTGCTATTATTACTACACCTGCAAAAGTTACTTTATGATCTAGAATGACACAAGTGGTCAGGACCTTGCTCCTATGTCTCATTTGCAAACTTTCAGTATTACAGTAGCCCCCCCTGCCCCCCCACCATGCTATGACATTGGTTCAGCAGGAAGGTTGCCATCTGCTGAATCACCAACATCACTCACAGTAGCAACCGTGGATTGTCTTTCAGTGTTTCCTGTTCAAGAACTGACCAAATCATATCCTTCTTAGTGTGTGAGTTAAGCCTCTAAGTGATTTCCCATTTTCCTCTGATGAAAGGTGGCATTAACTTCACCCAGCTTTCTTTCTGACTCATATGGCTTTTACATGGTTTAAATATCATTGCTGTCTTTGACAATAGTTTCATTAAACCAGTTTAATATGGAATTTTTTACCAACCTCTGTTTTGTATCTATGTGCTTCTTCGGAGATCAGTTATAAGGGATTATAATGCAGATCATAGCGAAGAAGAATTATCCTTTCCATCTGTCATGATGCAACTTCAGTCCTAACTAATTCTGAAAGATAAAATAGTGTGTGATGATTCTTGGCGTACCCAAGACTAAGAGTCACCTTGTTACTCCCTGCCTCTAATGAGAGAATGTCTTGCCTGTGGTAACTGAGTGTTAGCTCCCTAACACCACCAGCTTTTCAGCCACTCAAACACTCTCCTTTGGGCTATGCCAGCCCTGTCTTTGCCTTGGAGGCTAACAGAAGGTACACCCAATTCCCTAAGTCCCTTGAAGTGTTCCCGTGATATCCAGCCCCCTCACACTCACAGAAACCTCAGATCCTCTGCACCCAAAGGAGCTGTGTGTATCCCAGTTTACCAGTTTTTACTTTAAGACTCCACGCCACAGCACTTATGAGCACTTAGAATAAAACAAAAGAATGTTTAAGAAAGAATAGTGGGTCCACTAGAAGCAAGAGAGAATCATTGGTAGAAACAATGATTACAATGTTACCCACGATTTTCAGAACCCAAAGCAGTCATAACTTAACTGTTTCACTCCAGGCGGTGTCAGGTATAAACCAATGGGAACACAGTACTTATGGCTGATGACAGATTGATGCAAGTAAGCATGCTCTTATCTAAAACTACAGTTTATTAGATTTGAGCACAGACAGGCATAAGCTATAGGTTTAGAACATCCCAAACAATTACCTAGAATCTGAGATGGTATTGAATAATTAGCAGCAGGTCAGCGATGGCTGATCGCTTCCCCGCCAGGGAATATGGTGTCAGGAAACAGTCTCTCAGGATAGCATTAGAGAACTGCTCCAAAGTAAACTCTATTATCTAGTCTTTTATAACTATTTTTGACAAAACACATAACTCATAGGGACCCCTACTGGGT